ATCTATGTTGCATAATTTCTGCCTCATGTTCAAAACTATCACTACTTATCCTTCGTATTCTAATGAACTCTTCCACGTGTATTCCTCTAATAACATGTGTAGGGTGTACAGAATTTGTTCTCAGCAAAGTGTTTCCTATATAGTATAAAACCACTTGTGTATCCACTAGACGTGCATTTGTTCTTGTCCACATGTCAGTCGGCAATTTCGGACATTTGGATGCATTTGGATGAATTAAATAAATAACAAATTTTGAACATATCCACATTTTTTGATAAGGAAAGATTTTGTCTGAATGTGATTCAGAATGATCAAAATTATTTTGTTAGACGTGATAATAATAAAACAACAAACCAGCATGGAGTCACACCACCCTTTCTTCATTTATACCAGACCCTTTAGGAATTTTAGGAGGGACCCCATTCCCAAAAGAATCTGTGGGGTCCTCCCAAAATTCCATTACCAGGCCCTTTATCCAAACAGCAGCCTGGCAGAGCAGGAAAGATGGGGACAATCATGTGGGCCCCCTGCACTATACCAGGGAACCCCCTAGCAAAGCACCTTCTCCCCTTGTCGACCCTGGCATTATGGTTGTGTGGGTCTGTGGGCAGGGGGGCTTATTTGAATCTGAGTGCCGCCGTTTATAAAGGAAGCACCCAGAAGCCGCCCCCCCCCCCTTTGTGAATAGGGAAGTATCACGTACCTGGCTGAAGATTGGTTAGATGAGGAGGCTTCCCTTGCGCCTCGTGTCCCACAAACTCTGAGGATAGTAACGGTTCCTGAGTGAACAGCGAGTAGCATGGGTGCCAGTGGATGCGACAGCAGCGTGCCGGGCGGATGTTCAGGATCAGGTATAGCAAAGCCAAGGTCAACATCGGGCGGGCAGCAGGGTACTGGAGCAGAGTGCAGTAAACAATCCGAGGTCAGAAGGCAGGCTGCAATCAAGAGAGGTCAAGAACAATTTGGGTCAAACAAAGGAGCAAGAATCTGGCAGAATAACAGGAACAAGCTGAAGACCATCCAGCAACTGAGTATAGGCCAGGCTCGATTAAATAGGCTGATCCATTAGAGTTCACTGCATCACTTCCTGTGCACCAGAGATTAGCACCTTCGCGCGCAGGTCCCATTGCGCGCAAGTGCATGTTTCCTGCTGTACAAAAAATGGGACCACACGCAATAGTAGCAGTCAGCTTACAGTGCCCCCCTAAAGGGCAGCCCCCTGGATTCCCTTTAGGGGGAACACTTTTCATGGTGATTTTGAAGAAAACATTGAATCAGTGCAGGAGCATGGGAATTGGATTCAGGCTCCCTAGAATTTTCCTTAGGTCTGTAGCCCTTCCATCTAATTAAATATTGTACAAGTCCTCCCTTTCTTCTGCAGTCCAAGAGGGCATCCACTTCCTACTCTTTAACCCCATCCAGGATAGAGGGGGCAGGGGTACCCGTGTCACAATCAGGAAAGGGGTCTGGGACCTCTGGCTTGAGCAAGGACGCGTGGAAAACTGGATGGATTCTGTAAGAATCAGGTAACACTAACTCATAAGCAACAGGTTTAAATCTTTCTTTTCACACAAAATGGTCCAATGTGTTTAGGAGCCACATTTCTGGACAGGCAGGCCAATATTAAATTAAGAGTGGACAGCCAGACTTTTCCCCTGGGTTTGAGATCCAGATCTTCTATTATTTTCAAAACAAGCTTTATTGTCTGATCCTTGGCAATTGCGCCCTATAGAAACTTGACATTGGACTGTAGGCTTTTCACCCTGTCCTGTACAGCTGGAACAGAGACACTAGGATCTCAGTTGGGCAACAAGGTGGGATGGAAGCCACAGTTTGCAAAAAACGTAGTGCAGAGAATTATTGTAAGCAAATTTCGCAAATGGAAGGAGCGAAGCCCAATTATCTTGCAAAAAAAGAAGAAAAGCACATGAGGTATTGCTCCAGGGTTTGATTTCTTTGCTTGGTTTGGCCATTAGTTTGCTGGTGGTAGGCGGAAGAGAAGCGATTCTCTATCCCCTGGGTTTTACAGAGACCCCTCCAAAACATGGATGCAAATTGGACTCCATGATCTGAGACTATGCTGCTTGGGACTCCATAGAGGCAAACAATTTCTTTAAGGAATATCTGAGTCATCTCAGAGGCAGAAGGAGTGACAACCATAGACACAAAATGTGCCATTTTAGTGAGGCAGTCAACGACTATGAAGATACAAGTGAAGTCTTCTAACGAGGGAAGTTCTACTATAAACTGCATGCTAATCATGTCCCAGGGATGGGACGGAATAGGCAGTGGTCTCAGTAATCCCCACAATCTCACTCTTTCAAACTTGTTTCGTATACAAATCATGCAGGATTTCACATAGGCTTGACAGTCTGCCTTAAGACTGGGCCATCAAAAAGACCATTGCAGCAATTCCAATGTCTTGAAAACCCTGAAGTGTCCAGCCAAGGGATGATCATGACAAAGTTTAAATACTGCTACCCACAACTGAGGTGGCACAGAAATTCTATTGTCCAGAAAAAATAGTCCATCTCTCTCCTGTATATTAAATCCTGAAGATAAAACATCCGCAGTAGAGGCTTGTCACAAAAGAGTTTTCAGCAGATTCAGAGTCCTATGTCGTTGGATATATGTGGGACAAACCATCGGGTTTGACATTTTTGGAGCCCAGACAATAAGTGATGTGTAACAAAAATCGTGAAAAGAACAGTGCCCATCTGGCCTTTCGAGGTTTTAAGTGTTTGGCTGTTCAGAGATATTCAAGGTTCTTATGATCTGTGAAAGTTAAGACTGGATGAGCAGCACCTTCAAGTAAGTATCACCATTCGTCCGAAGCGGAGTTGATAGCCAGAAGTTCCCTGTCCCCCACGTCATAGTTCTTCTCTGCGGGAGAAAGTTTTTTAGAGTAGAAGGCCACAGGGTGGAGCAGGGATCTTTCATCCGGACGCTGAGAAAGAATAGCCCAAACAGCATTTTCTGAGGCATCCACTTCTAGAACGAATGGGAGAGTTGGATCAGGATGTTGCTGGTGACCACTGGAAATGAGCCCCTTGTTTAGTGAGTTGTGTGATTGGATTGATGATGGATGAGAAAAATTGGTGAAACCTATTAATCATTGGATGCTTTTGCAGGCCACCGGGGCAGGCCAGTCCAAAATGGTCGCCACTTTTTGTGGGTCAATAGCAATGCCCGACGTAGATATAAGCAGACCCAGAAATTGAACAGTCTCTCTATCAAATTCACATTTCTTCACCTGGACATATAGTTTATTTTCAGGATTATTTTTGATATGGGTCTAATAGGCATCAAGAGAAAAAATTTAAATATCATCCAGGAAGTCTCTAAAAATATTGTTTACACGGTGCTGGAATCTTGCCGGGGAATTGCATAACCCAAAAGGCATCACCAAGTATTGAAAGTGCCCAAAACCATGTGCGAAAAACCGTCTTCCACTCGTCCCTATCTCGTATCCTTATTAGATTGTAGGCACCACGAAGGTCCAACTTGGTGAAGGTTTTTGCAGATCTGAAATGCTGAAAGAGCTCTGGTACCAGGGACAACGGGTATAATTTTTTTACTGTAGTTTTGTTTAATTCTTGGTAATCAATGATCTTTCTTTTCAATGAAAAATATTCCTGCTCCAGCAAGTGGCATTGAAGGTTGAATAAATCCTTTGTAAAGATTTTCATCTATGTATTGTGGCTAAGTCTCTAATTTTGGTTTGGACAGGAGATAAATCCTACCAAAGGGTATTTCTGCTCCAGGTATTAACTCGATCGGGCAGTCGTAGGGGCGATGAGGTGGTAAGGAGTCAGCCTTTTTTTGTAAAAGACATAAATGAATTCAGGGTATTTGGGTTGAACAAATTGGGCAGCAGAAACATGTTCTTATTGCAAGCCCAGAAGAGCTCCTTGCAGGAAACAATGTTGTTGGCAATAAGAGAATGAAAAGGTTAGAGTCCCTGAACCCAATTTATCAGGGGATCATGCACCTGTAGCCAGGGGATTCCCAGGATTACGGGAAAGAAGGGAGAAGAGATAACATCTAGTTGTAATTTTTCCTGGTGTTCCATTACAGTAGAGGCAAGCAGAGGACAGGTTACTTGAGGGAAGGGCCAGAATTGGGGTTGGACCCATCTGCTAGCTGAATGATCATAGGTTGTGCCTTGGTGCGTAAGGAAATTTGGTGAAGAAGGGCAGAATTTGTATCCATTAAACAACTGCATGCACCAGAGTCAATACTGTGAGATTGGAGATATGGAGGACATATACCTTACAACTTCTGCAAACTACAACTTTGCAAAGCGCAGTAATTGGAGATTGCAGCCTTCTGAACTTGATGTCCACCCTGATGCCACCTTCAGCAAGGGGGCATTGCTTAAAAGGGAATAAGTACTATCCTTGTCGCACTCCTTACCGATATGTCCCTTATAGTGGGGGGTGCTTGAAGTGACCTCGGATGGCGCCGCGAATATCAGCAATTGTAGAAATGTCACCTCACCAGCACACCAATCCTTTTAAGATAGCAAAAGCTTCATTTATTGAAGTTTTTTGTCATATGACCAAACAAGCGCTTTCGGTACCGCACAGGGTCCCTTCATCAGGCTGTAGCATTGACGATTGTCAATGCTACAGCCTGATGAAGGGACCCTGTGCGGCCCGAAAGCGCTTGTTTGGTCATATGACAAAAAACTTCAATAAATGAAGCTTTTGCTATCTTAAAAGGATTGGTGTGCTGGTGACATTTCTACAATTATTGCTTAAAAGGGAAACGCAGGACTCTTGTGTACTAGAATGAAAGATCATTTGAGTAGTATTGCTTTAAACAAGTAAACTAATGCTGGATTAGGCTAGCAAATATAATCAACCTAGAAATGCTTAGAGTTTAAATTCTTTCAAAATTAGAACCAGTTTGTAAATGCTTTTATAGGGCATATCTGACACTTTCTACAGTCTGAGTCTATGTTTTCAGTGTTTTTAATTCTGTTTTTCTTTTTATAGGGAAATGGTTATCTCAGTTTGATCCAAGCCTTACAAAGAATGAAAACTTTAATCGGCTATCTTCTGGGTTAGTTAAAGTTCCTATGATGAATGCCCACAAGTATCCACTGCAGATCCTTAAGGACACATATTTGCAAGCCCAGGTATGAATCAGTTTAGTGTCTGATAATAATGTACAGTACATCACATGAGCTATTAATATATTTATTATCAAATCCAATTTAAATGCTCTCTAAACTTTGTTTCCTTTTAGTAATCTGCTTAAGGGTCTACATATAGTATCTTAAACTGAGGAGCGCTAATATACTCAGAAAATATATAAGCTGAATACAGTAAACTCCCCATTATCTGGCATTCAAGCATCCGGCACTCTCAAGTAACCTGCAAAAAAAATTCAGGACATAATATGTCCTTGTTTTTTTTTGCCGGTGGCTTGATGCACACTAACATTTTTTTATTTAGTAGCAAACAAAATTAGTTGTTTACCTCTTGCTTCCAGGCAGCTAGACTCCACTTTTGTCAGCAGAATATAAACAATGGGAGCAATAGCCAGCCTGCTGCTTACATTCACCTGTCAACTGTGAAAGCTAGCCAGCCAGTGAATAGGGCCGGGGTGGTTTCTTGAGAGCTACTATTAACTCTCAAGCAAACAGAAACTACAGTTATCTGGCACCTACCGATCCCCGTGGGTGCCAGATAACTGGGAGTTTACTGAACATGATTCCACTTATTAGGCTGTATTTATAATCTAAACCAGTTCATCTGGATGCACATGCCTCCACCCACAAATTCTTAAGTAACAAATAAAAATGCTATAATATGAATATTTTAGGATAAGGTAGGCTGTTGCTCTCTCCAGAAAAGCAAAATCTGTGTAGGAATACAGCAATCATTAGGTTATTTTTCAATATTTAACTTGAGGGCCAGCCTTAAGGTGGCCATACACTCTACAACCATCGCAAGACTTTAGTCTTGCAATGGTTGTACAGGGATTAAAAAAACGTACGATCTGCCTATCTTGGACAGGCAGATCGCACTCTCGATCATCGCAAGCCCGCCCCCCTGCGGGGTGGGCTTCCGATGACCGCAATGCTGAACGGGCAGTGTGCGCGTGCGCACACCGGCCCGCTCGGCATTTGTCTTCCGAGCACCGTTCTAACCAGCCGAGAATCGTACGATTCCCGGCTGGTTTTCGAACATGCTGGTTCGACAGAAGACGTGCGACCGTACAGTAGAAACGGTCGCACGTCTCCGTTCACACTGCTCGATTATCGTACGAAAAACCGATCGCATACGATTATCGTACGATAATCGTGCAGTGTATGGGCACCTTTAGGTTGCATCGGTGCTCTGTGCAAAATTTGAGGAAATTTCAGAGTAACAAGAATAAAAGTGAATCCTAATCACTCCCCTTGTAAATAACTTTACAAATTGACATTAGGAAAAATGTCCTTGTGTTAGGAACTCTTTCCCGTCTCCCATATGCCTATTTACATTTTAATATGTTATATTAGCTTTATTATATATGCTATAATATATTAGCTTTATAAATAATTATACTTTTGGTATGCAGAACAGAGTCTTGCTGAAATTTTCCAAAGACCCTTACTATATTCAGCATTGTAATAAGGAACATTGCAGCCCCTGGCATTTCTTTACACCTTCAGAATTCAGCAAGCATCACACCAAGGGTAAAACTTCCAATCACAGTGCCATATTTCCTGCAACAGGCTTTATATTGAAACAGAAAAAACAGTGCACTCCTCTACTGTAGAAGACTTTAATGAGTGAAAATGTTAAAACATGGAAGACCGGTACTCACAAGCAGCTGATGTTAAAAAACCTGTAATATGCAGAGGTGAATCTGCACTGAATGGACATCAGATGTCAGTCACGTCAGGACCTTCAATAAAAGCAATCCTCTTTCGACTTGTTGTAGAAACATCCCAAACCTGGGGAAATCCCTTCCTAGGAAAATAAATCTTGCAGCACAGCAATCCAGCAATCCAGCAGGTCTCTCTCACTAGTCACAGCTGATTTACATTCTCCTCAACTCCCAACTGGATGCCAAGGCTGCCTTATTCTGTACAGCCCAGCTTGCCTCACTGTTTTGGGTCTGGCATTTTTTGCCACCCCCCTGGAGAGTGCCGCCCAAGGCACACTCCTTGTTTGCCTTGCAGTGGATACGCCCCTGGCAGCCACACGATTACAACACATTAATACACAGTATGTATGCCACTGCTATTCATTTTGTTCAGTCTTTTTTATTAGTTTTAGTGTGCAAGGAAAAGGTTGTATGAAGAGAAAAAGGAAGCAGTAAACATGGGATCCTAACAGTAACATGTATACATTGTATTGTTCATATGAATACTTTCATAGGTATACATATTTCAGTGTTAAGAACCATTTTTAAAACCCTGAGGTTGAGGTGAAATGGGTTGAATAAAAGGTTCCAAGTTTTAGGTATAGTTTAAGGGAATAGGAGGGGAGGAGGGTTAGAGGAAGGGACTGGTGAGGGCAGGGGTGTGTATCTGCCCTGAGGCGGCACTTTCTAGGGGGGCGCAACAGTCAGGCAAGCCGTGCTGCACAGAATTCGGCAGCTTCAGCTTCCTAATCTATCGGTTTTGAAGTGACGGGGACCTTAACGCTGCTGTGTGCAGACAGCATGAGGCGCCCTATCACATCAGAGGGTGCATCGCAGCCGCCGAACATCTCATCATGAGATGTTCGGCGGCTGCAATGCATGCTTGAATGTGACAGGGCGCCTCATGCTGTCTGCACACAGCAGCATTAGGGACTCCTGTCACCTCTGAAGGGCACTGTAGATAACTCCCTGCAGACTCACAGACTGTCAGCGGTTTATCCTTACAGGCTGTAAGCAGCTGCAGTGATCTGTGTTAGAGGGGACAGGTTGCCACTTAAAGCTTGTAAGGAGAAAACTCTGGCAGTCTGTGAGTTTCCGTCCCCGTGCAGTCTACTCACCCCTCCGCTCCACTCCGCTCCTGCTGACAGCCACACAATCATCCCCATTCCAGTAGCCGGCAGCAATAGCCACCCTGCTATTGGCTCTTTTAAATTGCAGTAGACAATAACAGGCTGGCTATTGCACCCGCCCACTGCCTGCTATCAATCAACAGAAGAGGACCTGATGGAGAACTTTTTCCTTTTAAAAAAAAAAAAAAAAAAAAAAAAGTTTAAAAAAATAAAGTTAAATAAACTAAAATTTTTTTTTTTAAAGTTTAAAAAAAGTTAAATGAAAAGTAAAAATGCAAAAAAAATAGTTAAATAAACTAAAATTAAGAATACAATAAAATAAAAAAAGTTAAAAAAAATAAAAAAACACAGCCTCCTGAGACCCACAGCCTTCTAAAACCCCACACAGCCATCAATTTTCCATTATAGTTGTGAGTGGGGCCTCATATTTAAGTTTCACCTAAGGCCTCACAAAGTCTAGAGCCGTCTCTGGGTAAGTGGATCACACTGCTGTTAAAGAGACCCTGCAGAGCCCAGCATAGATTCTGCACAGCCCACCTGAAAGTCTCAGGTGGGCTCTGCAGGATCTGTGGTGGGGTCTATGGTGGGCTCTGCAGAGTCTCAGGGGGGCTGTGCAGGATCTGTAGTGGGATCTATGGTGGGCTCTACAGGGTCTATGGTGGGCTCTGCGGGATCTATGGTGGACTCTGCAAGGCCTCAGGGTGGCTTTGCAGGATCTGTAGTGGGCTCTGCAGGGTCTATGGTGGACTCTGCAGGGTCTATGATGGGCTCTGCACAGTCAATGGTGGGCTCTGTGGGGTCTATGGTGCGCTCCACAGTCCCTTGTCACTTGCAGCGTGTGTAGTTTCTGCAAGGTGCTTTAAAGGTCCAGAACTGTAGTCTGTTTTAGCAGAGCCCTGTTTCCAAAGACCCCCTTCAGGGGTATGACCACAGGGAGTTCAAAGATTTGCCACTGTGGCTGGTAAGTTAGGACTTGTCCCTGTTAAGGTAAACAGACCCTCCACCATGTATGGGTTGACTTGGGGCTTTGGAGAAATATTGTTGCCCCCTTTCCCTTTTTAAATTTGGCGTCATTCTCAAGGATCCATAGGTTGCCTATAAAGCTGCTCAGTGCCCGTGCAGCCTCTCTCTGTGGATTCTCTACTTAGTGTTTTCCTTCTGACATGTGCTGAGCTGCCCATATACTACTACTGCTACTACTGTGCACATCAAGCAGGGAGGCCAGATCTTTGCAGAATGTGCTCTGCATATCCAGGGCCATCTTTACCCCAGGGCAAAAGGGACAGCTGCCCTGGGCCCCATCATTTACAGAGTCACACAGCAGCTGTCCCTTTCGCCCCCCAGCGGCAGACAGAAAAAGAGCTGCAGCAGCACTGGTGGGGAAACAGATGGGCCATCCATTCTCGGTAGCAGCCAGCCTGTGAAGTGACAGGCTGTCGTGTGTGTGCCTCCTGCTGTGTTCTCCTCCCCTGATGCCTGTCACAGAGATGTGGCAGGCATGGGGGGGGGGGGGGGGGGGGGTACAGCCAGGCAGCACAGGTAAATCTGAAAAAAACAAACGGTTATCTTTATTTGCACTTGTCTGTCCTTAGCTGTACATGGACAGTAATGGAGAGTGGAAGAAAAAACGTGCTCACTCCGCCATGGTTAGGACACGCCCCTCATGGACAGTAATTTTTAGCACTTGCACAGAGGCGGGGGTCTGGGAGCAGAACTGGGAAGGGAGAATCTGGACTGTATTGGATTTACACTGCATATCACTAAACACGTGCTGAAATGTATATATTCGGTACATTTGTTCAATGATATGCTGTGTAATTGCAATACAGATTTTGCTAATATATTCATGTTCTGTACTACATGTAAATCATACAATTAGATTTAAAATGTAATTCTCATTGTATTTATAAAGTAGTGGAGAACAAATGTACAGTACATGGTTATATTGGTAAAATTGTTACTGCATAATATTACTTTATTATTTCTGCATATAACAATATAAACATCAGGTTAAAGGAGAACTATGGGGTCAGTGTTTTTCCCCATAGTTCTCCTTAGGGTAACGGGAGGACACAAACTAGCGTCCTCCCGTTACCCTAAGCTCAGTATACCGCGAGCTACAGCTCGCGGTATACTGAGACGCCGCACC